CTACTCAGGAGATTGAGGCACAAGAATTGCTTGAACCCAGGAGGCAGAGGTTGCAGTGAGCTGAGATCATGCCACTGCACTCCAGCCTGGGCAACAGAGCGAGACTCCACCTTAAAAAAGATATAAAAAATGTACTTTTCTAAGGAACCACTTGACAAAATGCTATGTTTTTGCCACCTAAATAAAGTGAAAAAATTCATGCAATGTTTGGGCTGAGGCGAGAACCCCAGAGATCATCAAGTTCTTCTCCTTGTTTTGTTTTTTTCCGGAATCAGAGATAATTCCCTTCTCCAGTGGACTTGCTTGCTTTCTAAGAGAATGAGATGCAGGTTTCAGAAATAAAATACAGGCTGGGTGTGGGAGCTCACGCCTGTAATCCCAGCACTTTGGGAGGCTAAGGCAGGTGGATTACTTGAGGTCAGTAGTTCCAGATCAGCCTGGCCAACACTGTGAAACTCTGTCTCTATTAAAAATACAAAAATTAGCCGGCGTGGTGGCAGGTGCCTGTAATCCCAGCTACTCTGGAGGCTAAGGCATAAGAATCACTTGAACCCAGGAGATGGAGGCTGCAGTGAGCTGAGATCGCACCACTGCAAGCGAGACTCCATCTCAAAAAAAAAAAAAAAGAAAAACAAAATACAAAGACCAATAAAAAAGCAGTTCTTCTGCCACCCTGATGTCTACTCAAAACAATCCTGAGTCAATTCCATTCTCACCCATTCTGCTTTCAGCCTTTACCCTACAATGGAATCAGTTCAAATGTTTAAGCCTTCCAAAACCCTTGGGACCTTAAACACCTGTGGAGACACAGGGATTTGCCTCCCACCCATAGCCTGTCTCTGCAAGCAGGACCAGTGAGGAAGCCCTGTGACCTTTGTTCTGTCACCTTCTGGGGGGTGCTCATGGTTGGCTGTCATGAGCCTGGCCGTATTTACTACCTCCCTAGAGGAAGATTCAAAGAGAGGCTCATCTCTGTTCTCCAGTGATTCTTCAAATATGCATTATTTCTGGACAACAGTCACCCTTAGAATTTTGCAATATAGCATCCTCTCTCTCACCAATGTTTACTTTTTTACCTGGGAAGCACCACGTGGGTATTGATGTAATGTGTTTAATAGTCACAGTTTATTAATTTTATTTCCCACTCCTCCAGAAAAAGGAGGAAAAAAAACATGCAGAGTACGATGTAGCTTGGGCGTATTTAGGGTAGTAAAGGAGAATGTAGCCGAAGATCTCAGGTACAGGGTTTTTCAGAGGAGGAAACCTGGGATGGTGGGATTTACCTGATCACACAGCTGATTAGTGACAGTCTCATTTCTCACAGACTAGAATTTCCATTTGACAGATGCTGTGCCAGGAATTGTTGACAGTCTCCAAGACTGGGATGCGTTTGGCATGTCCCATCCCCATATCCATCACAGCTTCAATTCTCACCCACCAGAAAGAATCATTTGCATTGGTTAATGTAGGTTAATGTATTACCCGCCATAAACACGTGAGGTCTAGACTAGTATGTGCCATTTAAAATTAACCCAACACAGGCTACACTCTCTCCCTCCCTCTCTCTCCACCACCTCTCTTGTTCTCTCTCTCTCTCTCTCTGTCTCCCCCCACCCCTTCTCTTTCTCCAGCCTGCTTTATATTCTGTCTCAGCAGGTGGCCAGAATCTAAAGGGCAGCCCAGGAGAGAATCTAATTCTGTTTTCTTGTTTCTTTCAAGAGCCATTGGCCCGAGAACCGTTCATTTCTTCTTCTGGGAAGTATTTGCTGGTTTTTGGTTTGGTTTTGGTTTTGTCTTTCCTGGCTTTTAAATTGTTTCCTAGAAGGACAGCTGCCTTCGGTTATTAATGGCCTGCTGAGGGCCAATGCAGAGCTTCCACACACACACTATCTTGTTGAATACCCACAGAAACCCTAGGAGGTAAGAGTATTATTACTCCATTTCACAAATAAGATGAGCTTCAGGAGAGGTTAAGTCATGTCTCCAGAGTTATAAATAGAGGAGATTTGAACCCAGGGCTGGGTAAGGATGAAGCCCACATTCTTTGTGATTACTCTGAGTCTCATTCTTCTTGTTTTGGTTCTACCTAAGCCAGTCCGCAGTGTTTCCAGCAGCCAGACGCTTCTTTTTGCTTGTGGTTCTGCAGAGGTTCAAGTCAGCTGGGGGTCGCTTGCAACTCTGAGCTGTCCTTCTCCAGCTGTTTATGAAAGTTCAAGCCCATTGTATTTGTATTTACCTTTTATGATGGGATTTTGGATTCAGCTTTTAAAAGGATTATCCATCCCTCAAAACATGATCCTCAAAATTCAAACCTTAGGACTGTATGGTTTGTATGTGTATACATTTGTGCTCATTTTATCACAGAGCCATCTCTGTGACCCACAGTGGGCCCAAGATGCCATCAATGAGTTGACTCCCAGGCTTTCCAAACAGGAGCCTCCTCTAAAGAGTTAGCAGGTCCTCCAGGCTGGATCACCCAAGCTGGACTTCCAGCTGTGGCCTGCCCCTGCTCCCCTTCAAGAAGCTCACATGTGACTAGGCATTCATCCAAACCAGAGGGTTAAACTGATGCAAAATGCCATCACAAAGGGCAAAAAGCAGTCAGTGTGATTTTCCCATGCTGCTGGCGTAATATAAAGATGAGAACCAGAACAGATTTTTGATAGATTTATTGTGGAGCCTGCAGCTCTCTTGGGAGGATTAAATGTGGGGCATCCAACATGCTATCAATCTCCATTGCTGTTTAATTAATAATCACTAGCAGTGTAGTCTGCCTGTCACCCCCATGGTAGTAAACACTGCCTGTGCCCTGTGAGCTCTTAGACTTGAATGGCGATTCAAGCCCCCCGTGCTCACCACTAGTGTGGCCTCTGATTTGGACCTGAGAACAGGTGGGAAGGTGTGTGGAATTCATGGGAGTGGGGCTGAACGTTTGCCTCCAGTCCCCTGCCACCACTTTGTCCAAGTCTAAGTCGACGGTGTTAAATTCTGAAATGCCAGCCTGTCTAGGAATTTGTAACCATCCAAACACTCAGAAGAAACCGTTACTCAAACACTGTTAGAAATGGTTCTGCTGTTCCACTTTCACATCCTTCCCACTCCGGAGTACTTAGGAGAAGATTCTAGTGGCTTGGATGGGGTCATTATAGCTTTGAGCAAAAATGTGAGGTTAGGACAGGAGCTCTTCATATGCTGCTGACAACAGCAAGAGGGTAGCATGAGAACGCAGGGTGTGTGCAGGTGAGGCCAGTGATAACTCAAATGGGGTTTGAAATCTCAGTGTTAAGTCATGCTTTATGTCAGCTGAGAATTTGGGCCTTGGAGAGAAAAAGGTGGGCTCCAGTTAAAGATGTGTGAGATGAGTTTGGGCACGGTGGCTCACGCCCTTAACCCCAGCACTTTGGGAGGCCAAAGCAGGTAGATCACAAGATCCAGAGATCGAGACCATCCTGACCAACATGGTGAAACCCCATCTCTACTAAAATACAAAAAAAAAAAAATAGCCAGATGTGGTGGTGCATGCCTGTAGCTCTAGCTATTCAGGAGGCTGAGGCAGGGGAATTGCTTGAACCCAGGAGGTGGAGGTTGCAGTGAGCCGAGATTGCAACACTGCACTCCAGCCTGGTGGCAGAGTGAGACTTTGTCTCAAAAAAAAAAAAGAAAAAGAAAAGAAAAGATATATGGAATTAGTAAATCAGAGATAATCACCACAATACTTGGTTTCCCCATTCTGTCACAGCCAGGAAAGGAGTGTCACTGTCAGACCAGAACCATGTTGCTACCATTGCCTCCTATGCCCCATGGTCTCGGTTAGGTTCACATCAAAATTTAAAGGTTAATTCTATTAAGAAACCTTCCAGGTGCAAATTCATGCCCAAACACACCAGAGTTCTTTATGGATTACTTATTCTGTGATGCATAACAACCCTTTAAAAATCAGGTTGCTCTAAAGTGTTATGAATATGTTTATTTGAAAAAAAAAATTGTCTCACCTTATTGAGGAGCTGAGGCTGGTTACAATCCTGGCTGCCTCTGACACGCCCACCACAGCCTGAAGACCACCCAGCCCTGCTTCTGACTGTGGTCACTCATGGGCTCCAGCTCCACTAACATGCATCGTGTCTTCTGCCAGAAGAACTCTGTCATAAACTGTGGCTCGCTTCTGCCATGACTTAAGACAGGACTGGAGAAAAATAAGGCTAAACTTGATTGCAAGCTCCAGGCAGGAATGACTGACGTGCCCATCCCCACCATGCCATGTCCAGAGAACATGCTCAGCAGTTAATTACTGAGTGTTGAATGGATGGGTGTTTTCAAGATCCGCTCTGGGAGTCAGAGACCAAGACATATTCTCCTTATTACCATGCACACTGTCAGTTTCCATAGCATGTGATCAGCACGTGCTAAGCGCCTGGCATCACCGTCTGGCCGGCAGGATGGACTCCCACTGGACTCTCCCTTGCGCCCAGCTCTTCTGCCGGTTGTAACACACAGCATCCCACCTAGACTCCCCAGGCTACCTGTGGACCAAAACTATAGATTGACTAAGTGCTTTTGATGGTCTTCTAAGTGATTTCATGACAGAATGGGTTCCCCTGAAATGATCTAATCCATTTAAAAAGGAGTCCTCCTTGTATTTTCTCTAAGGAGCTAAAAGTTGGAATTGTGGCTGGGTACAGTGGCTCAAGCCTATAATCCCAGCACTTTGGGAGGCCGAGGTGGACCATTCACCTGAGGTCAGGAGTTGGAGACCAGCCTGGCCAACATGGAGAAACCCTTTCTCTGCTAAAAATACAAAAATTAGCTGGGCATGGTGGTGAACTCCTGTTGTCCCAGCTACTAGGGAGGCTGAGGGGACAGAATCGCTTGAAGTTGGGAGGCAGAGGTTGCAGTGAGCCAAGATCGAGCCACAGAACTCCAGCTGGGGAGACAGAGTGAGACTCTGTCTCAGAGTGAGTTGATGAATGAATGAATGTTGGAATTGTTTTGTTTTCCCACAGGAAAACCTCTTTTTTGTGATGGAGTACCTCAATGGAGGGGACTTAATGTACCACATCCAAAGCTGCCACAAGTTCGATCTTTCCAGAGCCACGTAAGAGCCTTTAAGGGTTTGGGCGTTTTCCATTGTTCTTGTCAGTTCCCACATGATTTCTTTTTTCTTCTTTGCCACTTGGCTTGCCTAACTTCCAGGGCCAGGTAAACCCTGGAGAATACATCAAGCAAGGCAACAGTTTTCCCAGGTTGTAAAACCAAAATTCATGTTAGTTTGGTTTCATTTCTCCGTGATTTGAAACTAACTACTTTGTTTTGATTTGATTTGTTTTGAGGTGGAGTATACGCCAGGCACTCCACCTGTGCTCATGTCTGTAATGCTAGCACTTTGGAAGGCACAGAACTAAAGGCTTAGTGGAAGTTTAGGAAGTCAGTCTTCTTACGCAGCCTCTTAGAATATAATTTTTTGGTCTATCTACAAAATCATAGATTAAGAAGCTGTTTTATATTAGTTTTTTAATCTTCAGGAAATTGAGAAATACTCACCAGAAACTGAAAAATACTCTGTTGTCCAGACTGGAGTGCAGTGCACAATTTCGGCTCCCTACAACCTCTGCCTCCTGGGTTCAAGCGATTCTCCTGCCTCAGCCTCCCGAGTAGCCGGGATTACAGATGCCTGCCACCACACCCAGCTAATTTTTGTATTTTTATTAGAGACAGGGTTTCACCATCTTGGCCAGTCTGGTCTTGAAATCCTGATCTCATGATCTGTCAGCCTCAGCCTCCCAAAGTCCTGGGATTACAGATGTGAGCCACCATACCCAGCCTAGTTTCTTAGGGAACCATCCCAATTCATTAGGCTTCTAACTAAGCACAGAAGCAAATATGTGCCCTTTGGAAAGGAAGCAGTGAAAATGGACCACAGCCCTCAAGGGCGGTCCCCAGGGGTGGAGCTTGCAGCTGAGCCCTCATGGAAAGCCTGATGTGGAGGCATTAGGCTTTAGGAAGCGGAAGAGGCACTTACTCTGAGAATAAAGCTTCACCTTCCTAGTGCCAGGCAGCCTGAGACACACGGAGATGGGCAGGCGGTGTGTACCTGGTGGCTGTGTCTACCTGGAAGGCACTTAGGACAGGATGGGTCCGAGCTGACTGGAGATGACAGTGGACTAGGTGAATCCTTTCCAGCATGAAAAATGTAAAATTTTTCTCCTGTAAAAACCCTGGCTGGAATGGCTCTTTGTCACATCTAGTGGGTAGCACTCTGCTGAGCTCATGGCCTCTGGGAAACGTCAGCAAGGCACCCAGAGAGAATTTTATTGCACCTGAGGCCACAGCACTGACTGCCCTCCTGCCCATGCTGTTCCCCTTGGGTCCTACTTCCTGCTCCCTGAGACATGCAAGCAAAGGAAAGCTCTGCCTCTGGGCTCCTTGGAAGATGATGAGGGTGGGCTAGCTCCATTTGCTCAATGCTCAATAATCCCTCCCTCCCATCTGCATGAACACTTTGAGTGGTTTAGGTTGAAGTGGGTTGAGAAATGGATGTGGCCTGCCAGCTCCTATAAAAACCCTGGCTGGAATGGCTCTTTGTCACATCTAGTGGGTAGCACTCTGCTGAGCTCACTGCCTCTGGGAAGCCTCAGCAGTGCACCCAAAGGTAATTTTACTGGATTTTTGTAGCAGAGAAATAATCGGGCATTTTTCATGCTGAAAAGGATTCACTTAGTCCACTGTCATCTCCAGCCAGCTCGGACCCATGCTATCCAGCCTGTCCTAAATGCCTCCCAGGAAGGAGAAGTTTGCATTCTTCCACAAGATCCAGCAAACTTCCCTTCCAGGAAGCTCTCTCTCATGTCCAACCTAATCCCACCAGTGATCGTGTAAACTGATTCTCTTTAAGCTTCTCACCGTTGAAGATAAAGAGTAACTTATCATCTTGAATCTGCTAACATCCTTTTTTCCACCTCTGGGGCTGTAAGTGTTTCCCAGGCTAAAGGTTCTCAGTACAAAAATAAACCAGCCACTTCTATTTAAAATGGTGCATACAGGTCTATGGGTGCCAAGCAGAGTTTAAAATAGAGGGGAAAATTATTTGCCTATTATCTATACTATTACTTTTTCTTTGGAGGGGGTGTCAGAGTCTCTATCACCCTGGCTGGAGTGCAGTGGTGTGATCTCAGCTCACTAGTCTCTGCCTCCCAGGTTCAAATGGTTATCAAGCCTCAGCCTCCCAAGTAGCTGGGGCTACAGGCACCTGCCACCATGCCCTGCTAATTTTTGTATATATGGGGTTTCACCATGTTGGCCAGGCTGGTCTCGAACTCCTGACCTCAAGTGATCCACCTACCTGTGCCTCCCAAAGTGGTAGGATTACAGCCACTGTACCTGGCCTGTACTATTAATTTCTGTATGTTTTATTAGCAAAAACAAAAAGTTGACAATGTGAGCACTGTTGTTTAAAATATAAGAACAAGTACCAGATACAGTCAGGACTCACTTCAGAAGTCAGCTCTGTTTTATGCCGTTAGTGCTGAGTCTGGAGGTGTCTGAGCCTCCACTTTCTTATATGTAGACTGAATGGACAACATCTTCTTTGTTAGGATTAAAGATTTATGTGTGGACGCCATTTAGCCACACAAAGCATGTCATAAAAGGTCAGCCTGGGTTTGGGGATTTTGTTCTGTGACTACATTCACGTTGAGCCTTGGTTCTCTTTCCCCTAGGTTTTATGCTGCTGAAATAATTCTTGGTCTGCAGTTCCTTCATTCCAAAGGAATAGTCTACAGGTAAATTTTGCTTTGTGGGAAGAAATGCTGACATACTGGCTTTCCTGGCTCGGTTAATTGAATCATTGTACCGAGTGCTGCTAGACAGCCCATGTGATTTCCTGGGAGGAAGCTCCACACGTAGGCTTCCTGCCCACAGTGATTACATGGATGGTGACTTACTCACAACCAAAGAAGACATGCTAGTCTCAAAAGCAGGAAAGTGCTGAGCTCATTCTGTCTCTTACACTGATTCTCACTTGAATGCCTTCTTTCTCCTCCTTCCCCCATTTTCACTGCCCTGCTTTCTCTTTGTTACCTTGCCTTATGCTTTCTTTCTCTTTTGTCCCCTTTGTACCTCTTGCTTTTGCTTGTCTTTGCTTTGGGCCACCTAGAAATGCTTATGGAATTGTCTCCTTTTGAGGCAGGAGAGCCCTTCCCTGAACACTGACATACACTTGTGAAAACCCACGATTCCACACTTTGGAGAAGCGCACAGAACACCTGTGTCCACCTTCATGAATACAGAACTCTGCTGTATGACATCATTTCACCTTCTTCTCTCCAAGCCCTTAGACTGAAGCTATTGTTCCTCAGTCTCCTTACTTCTTTTCTCAAAATATAGTTTGCACTTATTTAACATACAAACCTTTACAAGCTTAGCTGTCAGGCTTCCAACTCACTGCAGATTAGAAGGAAAAATAGAAAAGAAAGGATCTAGTGAGGAGGGTGGCTGAGCTGCTGGAGACCAGATGATTAGTATTGAAGCTTTGGTGCTTACAGAGCGTGGAATTCACTTAGTGGGGAAGAACCTCTCCATTTTCTGAGGGTGCAGCCAAGTGGGGGTTGCCCTATTCAGAGTCACAGAACTAAAGGCTTAAGAAAGGTTTGGGAAGTCAGTCTTCTTAAGCAGCCTCTTTGAATATAATTTTTTGGTCTATCTACAAAATCATAAGCAGCTGTTTTATAATTTTTTTAATCTTCAGGAAATTGAGAAATACCAGAATATTATTTAAAAACCCTTATCAGAATTTTATTTTTAAAAAATTTTTAGGCCTGCAATATATCTAAAATATTTCTGTACCTAGGCGCTGACTAAATTATGTGGGATGGATGGATGAGTGAACAGATGGTTGGATGGATGGATGGAGGATGGATGGGTGCAGATGGTTGGATGGGTGGATGGATGGAGGATGGATGGGTGCAGATGGTTGGATGGGTGGATGGATGGAGGATGGATGGGTGCAGATGGTTGGATGGGTGGACTAATGATGGATGAATGATGAATGGATAAACAGGTGTTTGGATATACAGATGGATGGATAGATGGACAATGAATGAACAGATGGATGGATGGGTGTGGGATGGATGGATGGATGGATGGATGGATGAGTGAATAGATGGATGGATGGGTACAGATGGTTGGATTGGTGGACAAATGGGTGAATGATGAATGGATAAACGGGTAATTGGATATACAGATGGGTGGATGGATGGATGGACAGTGGATGAACAGATGGGTGGATGGTTGTGAATGGATGGATGATGGGTAAATGAACAGATAATTGGATGGGATAGATGTATGAATGGTGATGGATGGACAGATAAATAAATGAAAGGGGCTGGGTGTGGTGGCTCATGCCTGTAAATCCCAGCACTTTGGGAAGCCAAAGCAGGTGGATCACCTGAGGTTAGAAGTTGGAGACCAGCCTGGCCAAAATGACAAAATCCAGTCTCTACTAAAAATACAAAAATTAGCTGGGTGTGGTGGCGCATGCCTGTAGTCCCAGCTACTCTGGAGGCTGAGGCAAGAGAATCGCTTGAACCCGGGAGGTGGCAATTGCAGTGATCTGAGATCACGCCACTGCACTTCGGCCTGGGCAACAGAGCAACAATCCATCTCAAAAAATTTAAAAAAATAAAATGGAAGGGAGGAATAAAAATTAGGAAGGGCCGGAGAAAGAGAGAGACAGAGATCTTAGACCAGAAGGGACCCCGTGAACCCTAAACTCACACACCTCAGTGCATTTTATTTCCCTGTGTCACAATGCTTCTTCCTATCATGTCACCATGTAAATTACTGACACTCAGAACAAAAAAAGCAATAGATGTCCATAAGTAGCTTTACTATCACAACAAATTATACCCATTTTTGAGTCTTACCCTGCCCATGCATGGAAGTTATGTTCTTTAGGTCTTCTTATGCACCAACAAGAAAAAAGCCTGGGTTTATTTTTTGTGCTCATTAGGTTGCAGGAGACCCTTGAAAGTCATCAGCAGAGAGTTAGAACTGAGGACAGGTCACCAGACAAGTATGTTGGCTTTAAGACTGGCCTGCTGCCTAATAAGAAATAAGTTGAATAGTAAGAAATTATTACTTATTATAAGCTGAATAGTAAGAAATTATTCAATTGTGTGTAATTTGACTTATCTAAACTTTTACTTTGGCAACTGAATTAACAAAAGGATTCAATTCATTTCTTTCTTTTGACCTCATAGGATAATAATTTTCTAAATTTGTTCATCAAACTGTTGTATTAGTTTTGAAGGGCTGCCATAAGAAATTATCCCAAATTTGGTGGCTTAAAAAAATTGAAATTTATTCTATCACATTCTGGAGGCCAGACATTTGGAAGCAAGATGTGGACAGGGCTGTGCCCCCTCCAAGCCCCTGCTCTGCCAGCCTCTGGTGGCCGCAGCACCCAGTCTCCACCTCTGTCTTTCCATGGCCCTCTCTTGGCCCATCTGTCTTCTCTAAGAACACTTGATGGATTTAGGGCCCATCTGGATAATCAAGGATAATCTCACCTTGAGAGCTTTAACTTAATTACATATGCAAAGACCCTTTTTCCAAATAAGGGCATATCCACAAAGTTCTGGGGGTTAGGACATGAACATACATGGACGTATCTTCCGGGGGCCACCATTCCACCCACTGCAGCTGGTATCACAGACCACGTGTGCTCTAGATGTGCAGGTCTTCGTCAAGCACAGGAGTGGGTACTAAATATATAGAAGTCTCAACTCCCAAAAACCTGATAAGCCACTTTCTGGGGTTTCTTTGGGGGAAAACAAAACAAAACACCTGAAGGTTTTAGTTTACAATAAACTCAATATTAAGCATTATTGTGATGAAGCGATGAAAAAATATGGTGCAGGATCTTAGTTCACTGTGGCAAAAGGCAAGAGGATGGTGTAACCTGCGGCAATCACATTCTCTCTCTGGAGGATGCTGGCTTCATTCTGAGCACCATGTTTCAAGAGGAAAACTGACAAATTCAAGTTATTTGGAAGGTGGAGGCCAGAATGTGTGCCCGTCTTCCAGTTTCCCCCAGAGGCCACATCTCCCTCAGCCGTGATACAAGGTCAAAGGGTCTGAAAACCACATTGTCAGGAGCGAAGTCCCTGAACTTGGTGAGGGAAGAGAAAACTCGATGTCATTTTTTTTCAAATATTCAGGGTATCACACATGATAACAGTAGAAAGCCCCCTTGGACCAACAGGTGCATCACAGGGAAGCAAAGTTTGGTTGTTTTTTAAAAAATGTTATCAGGGCTGGGCGAGGTGGCTCATGCCTATAATCCCAATTCTTGGGAGGCTAAGGCAAGTGGATCAAGAGGTCAGGATTTCAAAACCAGCCTGGCCAAGATGGTGAAACCCCGTCTCTACTAAAAAAAAAAAAAAATACATATATATATAAATTAGCTGGGCATGGTAGTGGGTTCCTGTAATCCCAGCTACTTGGGAGGCT